AGTCTTAAAAATTTTCTAATTTTATGTGTTGATGGACACATCAGAGTAAACATTCATATTATTGAAACGGTGCAATTCCTTTGCATGTGAAAGATACTTCTGTCAGATCTCTAGATTTAGTTAACCGAAGGCAAATCCAATAAGATAAGATATACTCTTTAGGGCCTCGCCAACCCATCCAACAACCTCCTGCTAGCAAGTGCTAGAAGTAGAGCTATGCTAGCATTTGCTAAAGAAGCAACGAAAAACGACTACACAAGAGATTTAACTATCAAGTCTGTTAGTTTCTCAAATGACAATATTACTCTCTTGGCCTTGTGTTTATTAAAGTTACAATGAAAAAAGAGAACAACTGATCTAACATTTATTATGCGTTGAACGCTGAACGTTTAAGCATGGAACAATAACAAGCACATCTCAACACGTCATTTGGACATTACGCTCTAGTTGCTAAAGATAACCTTTAAATTGAATGTGGTTATTTCAAAGTCGAGATCTTCATATCACGAGATCGTTCTGCACTTTCAGCAACGATTCTGCACTTTTATGGAACTGCTTTACTTCGGATGCACTCAAATTTTGTTTCACAACATGGGTAACGCCGTTTGATCCAAGCACAACTGGTAGGGAAAGATAGACGTCGTCCTTAATTCCATGGAAGCCCTAGAAAGACTCGCATAACATTGATTACTCGCCAATGGACCAAAGCTTAGGCAACATAGCAATGATATGAGGAACTTACCTTGACGTTTGTGGAAAGCGCAAAAACATTGCGGGAATTGGTCATGATAGACTGGACAATTTTAGCAACAGAAAGACCGATGGCCCAAGAAGTATAACCCTTCAGCTTGATGATCTCGTACGCACTAAAAATGGCTTTTATGGGATAGAATGTACCAAATTTTTTCTATCCAAAAAAACCATATTCACGACTTTTTTGCTCGCAACATAGTTTGCTAAATATTCGGCTTATTGATATACCTATTAATATTTTTTTAAGTATAGCAATGATTCATGCCCATGATGATTCATAGAACTGAAACTCACTAAAAAGTTTCTGAACATGACATCATTTTCTCCAAGCTATTTAGAAACCAGTTTGTACTTCATAATAATGTTCTATTCCATGTTGTGTGATTAATTATGTTCAGTGATAACAAGAGGTAAGAGGAATTCGTAAGTTGCGAAAGACTTAGAATAAGAGAATCTGCTCCTAACGGAATTGATTGCATCCTTCCTACATCCCTTGAAAGGTTGACTCAGCTAGCAACAATGAAATTTAATTGTGAGTAGTTGAGCGCAAAATTTACATACTATGATGTTGAGCGATAAGAATATGGTTAAAATATT